ATAACGACATGTCGGTTTAGGTTCATCAACTGTAACTAAGGTACTAAACTACTCTGGTGAGGGGTGCTGATAATGGTGGGGGGGCTATGGTTAGGGGAGGGGATGCAGGAGAGCAGGGAGTCCCTGGGAAGTCTCTACCTTTTGCTCAACTTTGCTGTGAACCTAGAAGTGTTCTAAAAATAATGTTTGTTAAAAAATAACAATAGAGGAGGGTATAGCTCAGTGGCAGACTGCGTGCTTAGCATGCACAAGGTCCTGGATTCAATCCCCAACACCTCCATTAAAAATTAAACATGTAAATAAGTAAATAAATAACCTAATTATCTCCCCCCTCAAAAAAAAAAAAAGAAAACCCAAACAAAAAATGTAATTAAAAAAGTGAAAATGAAAAAAAAAACCAATAAAAAATGATAGACAAACTGTAACATATTTTACTTCTTATGAGATTGGGAATTTTTCATTTATTTATAATAATTACTGTGTACTTACCAAGAAACGCAGAGAAGTTTATCATAAACCCAAAAATACCACTCTCTGGAGGTGTTGTTCCTGTATCACTGGGAAAGAGAAGACATGTCCAAATTAGTAAGAAGAAATTCAGTTCAGCCCTTTGGACAATCACATAATCAGCAGGTTTTATACTGTGTTGCCGCTGGGTGTTCAGCCACTTTGAATTGCAAAAATTTGACTTTATTTTTTCTGAAGTATTTTCATTTTGACTCTGAAAAATTAAAACCTCAGTTTTTTTCCCTTCCAGTTTTATTGAGATATAATTAACAAACAGCACTGTCTAAGTTTGAAGTGTGCAGCATAATGATTTGACTTACATATAACATGAAGTGATTACCACAGTAAGGTTAGTAAACATCCATCATCTATAAATACAAAAGAAATTTTTTTTCCTTGTGATGAGAACTCTTAGGATTTACTTGACAACCTTCATACCTAACATACAAGAATGTTAATTTTATTACTCATGTTGTACATTACCTCCCTGGTACTTATTTGTCTTATAACTGGAAGTTTATACCATTTGACCACCTTCCCCTCACCCTGCTGATCTGATCTCTTTTTCTATGAATTTGTATATATGTGTGTTTATTTGTTTTGAAGTATAACTGACCTACAACACTATGTTAGGAAATAAAGTGAATGGTGGTAGTGGTTTTCAGATGATCCCACCTGATAAATCTGCTATGTGTGTCCATTCTTGGTGAGGAATTGAGTGTGACTGTTTTGGGGAAAAAAAAAACTGGTGTAAAATCAATTTTATAAAATCCACTATTTGGATATTAAATACACACAAACATATCATTTTAATCTTTTTAAAAATATGATTTATGCATAAGAGTTTACATTGCTGAAAATATGATGGAAGGCAAATATTATTGATTCCTGTCAGTACTTTATGGAAATAATAGGGTATCCAGGGTATACTCATTGTGATAAATTACTTTAAAAAAATAGCTTCTTTGAAACACTTTTCAGATGCAGGCTATCAATTAATTAATTAAATGAGCTGGAAAGTTGTGTTTGACCTGTTCTGGTTTCTGTTCATTAACGTCAAGGTTTACACTTACATTCTCAAACTGCCCGCATAAAGCACAGTTTAAAACTGAGGGCAGAATCCCTCCCAACAAGAAACAAGTCATACTCATCTTGAGTGTTTCCACATTTTAAAACAGCTCTGAAATTTAAGTACTGAAAAACTGATCACGTTGAAAGATGCACTTCAGAGTGTTTGAAGAACTCGATGAGAAGCCTGTGTGCAGAAAGCAGGAACCTCTAAGCTTTGTGAGCACTTAATGTTTGAAGACTGTAAAGCCGTTCGTGTTCCGCCTTCCCACAAATGTTTCTATCTCCAGTTATTTCATCTCAGTGTCCTTTGTACCTGTAAGTCTGAAGGGTTTAGAATTCAACATTTTTCCTACAAATAACCTTTTTGCTCAGGAAAGGAATGCCAAGGTGGAGAAGTCTTCTAGACAAGCTGGATGCCCTTCTGAGCGCGACGTGGTCCTGAGTGGGTGAGGAGGGGTGGAAGCCAGTCATGGGAAGAAGCTGGAGACAGCTCAGACCCTTGGGCAGCACTTGTGCCTATGCCAGGAGTTTGATTCTCACAGGGAGATGAAGCCTTCTATTCTTGGCCTCAGGGTATAAAAAAGCGGCTACCAGGTAACTCATGCCACACATCTGAGAGGTACCTGCCATGAGCCAGGAAGATTGTTGGCTTGTTTATGGAGAGAGGAAAGGAATGGAAGAATAAGGAGGATAATCAGGGAGACAGAAAGATGGGGGCACAAAGGTGCTTTAACAGGAAGTGAGAAGAGGACCTGACTCAGGAAATATCTGTCCACTGTTAGCAAACCGAGACAGATGTCAAGCGCCCAGGTGTACAGTCTACATGACATCACACATGCCATCTTAAAGCTCAGAATTTCAGGGTGATATTTTATTCTTCCTTATCTGTACATTTAAAACCATATAGACAGAGGGAGAGGGGGTGGGTATAGCTCAGTGGTAGAGTGTGTGCCCAGCATGCACAGGGTCCTGGGTTCAATTCTCAGTACCTCCATTAAACAAACAACCAAACAAACAAACAAACCTAATTACCTCCCTCAAAAAAAAACATATAGACAGAATCAAAAGTGCTTTGCAAACAGCCTTTCCATATGTATTTGTTGAATGAATGACTATCAGTACTGGCAGTAGATACCACTTAATGAACATTTACTACCCACCAGGCACTGTTAGGTGCTTACCGTACATCATTTCATTTTATCCTCTCGACTCTGAGGTGAGCCTAATATCAACCCCATTTTACTAAAGAGGAAACTGGGTATCAGAAAGCTTCCATCACTTGTTCCAGGTCACAGAACTATTAAATAGAGAAATCTATCTGTATTCCAATCCAGATGTCCGACGGTGACTTTCCTGTCTCCACTGTGCTCTAACAGCAGGCAAGAAACAAAGCAATTAGAAGAATGATGGGGGGAGGGGGCAGTGGAGGATGAACACTGATGTGCTGGTAAATGCTTAACAACCAGCTCTAGAGGGCACCTGATTTGTAACATAGGCCAATTTCCTATTTGCACCACATCAATGACTGGAGCAGTTCGCGTCTTGCTTGTGGCAGCATTCACCCCGTGTCTGTGTCTGCTCACTGATCAGAGTCCACAGTTTAGCAAGGATGACAGTTGGGCAGAAGCTCTGATTCGTCTTTTAGTGGTGATGCCTCACACCAACTTTCCCATAGTAACCTGGGTGATATCACCCAGGTTGAGATAAATATTCCCAACCTGTCAAAATTCAAGCTACCGAAATGCCAGTCACTGAACGTGGAGTTGGGAAGAAATGCACACAGTTGGCTCTTGGGAGCACATAGCAGCTGGCTGGCCCAGCACACCATGGGAATGAACCAGGATGGTGGTAAGAAGGGATCATCATGTCTTAGCTGTATACCAGGAAGGTGTAAAGCAGGAAAGACCTCACAGTTCTCAAGTGCTATAATTTAATCATAAAGCACCTTCAACAATTATTCACCACCATGGTAAATCCAATTTTCTCTCAGGATTACTGAGTCTAAAACACCCAGCATCAGTGCATGAGTACCAATGGGCCTACGTTCCTACACTTGGACTACAACGTAGGAAATGTGAATACTACAAAAACTAGGAAAGAATGAATGCACTGCATTCATAACCAGTTGTTTGAGTAAATAAAACCACCTGTTAAATTATTTTTATTTGACTCTACAAATAACCATAAATTCTATCCATTCATCAACAAAATATTTATGGGACACCTAACATGTGTCACAAATTCCCGTATCTGTCAGGTAAGAATGGTCAGTGTGTGATTTATTTCCACTAAGTAACAAAATGGTACCTAGATACATTTGGTGAGATTTTGCTCAAGAGTATTTCAAGAAAACTTCCCAAGCAGCAGATGAAAATGTGGACACTTCTAAGAACTTTTAAGAGTAGCTGTGGTTGCCTACTATTGTTAATACAAAAGAAAGTCTTGCTCTTTCATCTCAGCCACTGACACGCCATCCTAAGAAAGACGGAGAAAGTAAGGAGCCACGTGAGCCATGGCCACGGCTGTGTTGTAAAACACCGGAAGCACTCAGAGGCCTGGTAACCCGGGTGGCATGCATCACCCCAGGATCAACTCTGACAAATATCACCCAGGTTACTTTGGGAAAGTTGGTGTAAGGCATCACCACTAAAAGACGAATCAGAGCTTCTGCCCAACTGTCATCCTCGCAAAACCAGTGGACTCTGATCAGTGAGCAGACACAGACACAGGGTTAATGCTGCCACAAGGAAGACTGGAACTGCTCCAGTCACTAATGTGGTGCAATCGGGCCACCATCAAGTTCTAGGAGAGAGAAAGCTCCCAAAACAGCTTGTCATTTTAAGCAGACAAGGTAGAGGGTCCCTGGAGGAAAAGAACCAGATATAGCTTTTTGACTTAAGAGAAGCCATTTTAGGCCTAAGCCATTTTGTGACCCAAGCCTGGCCACAATGCTTGCCCTTGAACAGGGCTCAATGATAATGATCTCAAAGGAACAAAAGAACAAACAAATGTTATCAGGCAAGAGAAGTTACCAACAGCAAAGATAATAAATCAGTTTAAAGACTCCCAGTTTTAAAAGTACATTAGCCTGAAGTCACTTTCTTGAGCTGTTTTATAGAATTTAAACGCCCCTTGAGGGCTCAACCACGAGATCAACTGGAACCTAAGGGATGAGAACATTAACCTTTTCTGACCTCCATGACGTCAATCAGCTAAAGCTTGGACACTGTCGACCTTTGCCCCAATTCTATGCTGAATTCTCTGCTCGACCCTGTTCATGAGTATGTGGGAACCCTCATCTTAAAATTGCCCCAATTGCCCACATGTTTTCCTTACTTGCTGCAAGTAATAAATTCTTCCTTCTCCCGATCATTGGCTTCATTGTGTCTTTTTAGCACCTACCAAGAGGTGAACCAGGTTTTGGGTAACAGCATCATGAAGGTTAAATTCTTCAGCAGAGGAGCTGAGGACAATATTAAAGATGTGTAGGGGGTGGGAGGAGGCTGTGTACTGATAGCTGGAAGCCAGTGGAGGGAGGATCATTGAATGTCAACAAGTGCTTTTCTTTGAAAAAAAAAATACATAGGTATGTATGAAAAGCTCTTCCCTTTAAATATTCTTTTAAGCCTTTTGGTCTCCAAGCTAATGTTTTACATTGAAGTAAATATTGCATCACATCTTCTGCCTGACATTGGGATCCAGATGAGCATAACACCAAGGGGTTCCAAGAGAATATGTGAGGAGCCTCTTTTTATTTTACCTTTTTTAAAGCTCACAGTAAATGATCTCAGTGTAGTAAGCAGAGGTAGTAGGATTTGGTTGGCACAGCTGTACTTGGGCACCTGATTCAGGAAACTGGGGATTAAGAGGCTAAACCAGTTGCTTCCCAATGTGGCAGAAGTCCCCTTACAAAACTCCCACCTTGTGATTCTCTACCACATGGCTTAAGCAATATGGTTCTGGCCCTGCCCCAGTTCCATCCACCTCCTCGTTTGCCTCCCTGTAAATGAGGCACTTCCTGGAAACTGTACTCAGTATAGGAACTAACTGTTCATTTGCACGTGGCTTAGAAGCTGTTGAGGACGGTATGGGTACACAGCTGCTTCTAATAAGGGTAGGTTGTGCCCAGGAAATCAGTTGACATCTATGTTTACTGTGTTTACATTTCTACAAGTTTTGTTCCTTGTGGAAAATTCCAAATTGTTTATTTAACATCTTCCTCTGAACTAATTTATGATGTTGAGCCAGTACATAATCACTTGATGATCAAAGGAATAGAGACAACACAAACAAGATGTGCATAATACAAGCTCGGTAGAATGCTGTTGGATACGTGTGATTGCATTATTCTAAATCCTGGAGTCATAGTTTATTGGGAGGACTGAGATGCTGACAGTATGCAGAATTATCTGTGTGCTCACACTAGGGTTTATTAGATTGCCCTAAAATCCTAGGCCCATTGCTTGGAAGATTAGTCAGGACTTAGAACCTAAAAACACTTAATGCACCAGTAAAAGGAAACCATTACTTCCTTTGTCTCCATGTTTAAATATATAATTTAAAATAAATATGATAATAAGAAGTCATTACATTTGATTACTTTAAATTATTAGGGCTGAGTTTTTGGCAGCTTCAGTTGGTGATTATTCTAGAGTGGGTGGCACCCTATAGCTACAGCAGCTTTTTTTTTTTCTTTACGGGAAAGTGCGAATGCAGTCCCCCAATACCACAAATGATCCTGTCAAGTTTCCCACATTGGGGAAATCGCAGGGGTCAGCACATCCAGAGTTCAATGGATAAGCCTCGCCCTGGGAAAACCACCGGAGTGATCATGTTATCTCCTCTACCAGGCAAGTATGCAACTATCTTTTTTATTGAAATATAGTTGATATCAATATTATAGTCAACTGTTTTGAAACATAAAAAGAATTCCTTAGCCATAAATGCAAACAATTTGCTCTTTTCTCACGCTATCCACATGAAATTGCCCTCTATCGATCCAAGCTCCCTCTTTGTTCACTCATACAACATTATTAAAATATTGTTAAGCACCTCCTGTGTGTTGGGAACTGTGCTAAGTGATGATACAAAAATGGCAAGATACTTCACTACCTTCAAGAAGTGTAGTATCTAACAAAAGATTCCTTGATTCAACATATAGTTACTGATTGCCTTCTATGTAACAGGCAATTTTGTAGGCAAGGTGAAGGCAATGGTAAGTAAAACAGAAAAAGCGCCTTCTCTGTGGAATTACATTCCTGTAGGGGCCAATAAAAGTAGTCTGGGAGTGATGAATGCTGTGAGGAAAAGAAAAGCTGGATAAGACGACAGAGAGAGATAGGTGAGTCGCCCACTCAGGACTGAGTAGTCTGGGAAGGGTGCTTGAACAGAGAGGACTAAATGAAGTGGAATATTTGGGCCAGGAAAATTACAAGCAAAGGGAAGAGCCAAGGCCAGAAGGTGGCAATATATTAAAAAAAAACTGCAAGGAAGGAGGCGTGGCTGGAGGAGAGTAAGCAAGGACCTGTGTGCACAGATGGGAGGGTTCATGGAGAGTCCCCCGGGTCATGGCGAGGATTCTGAGTGTTACTGTAAGTAGGATGGGAAGCCGCTGAGGACTGAGAGCAGGGAAGTGATATGAAGTTGATTGATGATTTTAAAGGATGTTGCAAAAAGACTGTGGAGAGGCAGGCATGGACCAGGGAGACCTAGGAAGCTATTTCAGTAGTTTATCAAGAGATGCCAGTAGCTTGAACCAGATGGTAATGAAGAGGGAAGCATAAGAGGTCAGATTTCTAACTTTTTTTTTTGGAGAGTCTGTTAAAAACAATCCCTTCTTGGACTACAGCTGCTAACATTACAAAAGGAAAAAAATTAACATTTTCTCTGTGCTTACACTTGGCCAGGTACATCTTATTTGGTCTTCACAACATTATAAGGAAAGTACTTATTATGATCGTCTTAAAGATGAGGACACTGAGTCTTAGAAAAGTAACTTGTCCAAGGTCACAGAGATAGTAAATGGTATAAAAAATAAAATAGTATAAAAAACCATCCATCTAGAGCTGTCAATGGACACAATTTAGAACTCATTTCTGTTGTGCTGTATTACATTTCTTTTTATGATAACATATCTCTTCCATGTGAGTTTACAGAACTGTACTATCTACAACTGGATCTGCACCAGCAATCCCTTCTGGAGCCATTGGTAAGTTGTCCTTGGTATGCGGTAAGTCTACAATGCATGTTCTTGATGGACTGAAATGCAATTACTGTCAGGGAAAGAGGACTCTTCAATGGAGCACTCCTTTTTTTAAGTTGAAATTGAGCACTTACGTTTAAAAGTTGTCAGCCCTGCATTAATCAAGACTTTTGAGCAATATTGTACTGCCCTTTTAAAAGTAGGAATAGCAGGAAAAAAACCATTTAACTCAGTGGAAAAAAAAAGAATCCTATGTAATCAAATGACAGTGGAAATTTTAAATTAAACAGAGGAGAACTTGAATGTATTTACAGTTGACTCAAGCCAAACAACACTACATCAATCACTTCAAACTTTGGAGCTGCAAAAACTGGGGATCTTCCATTTTCTTATTATGCTTTCCTTAGAATTATCTAATTTGGGCAAAGCTTTTTTGAAGCAAATGTCAAACTACAAAATTATTATTTCAAGGATGATACTGTTCTAGCTGAAAGTTTTACGTGGCATGCCTGCCTTTTCATTCTTATGATACTGTGGCTTAGAGATACTGTAGGTAACAATCGCTGCACTATAAAGACTGAAGAGTCATTAACTACGTGTCAGAATATGTGACTCTATACAGAGACACCATTATCTGACTGTTTATTATCCCAGACCCCAATGATACAGCTGAAAAGGAAGCAAAAGTCACCATTGCATGAAATTCAATGTAATAGTAATCAAACAGGTTGGTTTAAGCAGGAAGTCATCAAAAAGTATATGGATACACTGCATACATTCACGTGCCTACTTACTGATGTAGGACAAGGCCATTACATGAGTACCAGTCTCACCGTATGTCTTCCTGGCATACAAGCCACATCTACTGTGAATGATCTCATTCCAGTTTTGATTTCTTTAAAGTGGAGGGATATCTTAAAGACAATTTTGAGGCAATCTGTGCAGAATCCTTCTAGCTTTTTATCAGTTTTTGGTAAATCTTTACATTTGTCATAACCACTATTAAACAGACCACAATTTTGGACAACTTATCTCCTGACTCTTTCCAAAGCATTCAACTGAGTTTTCTTAGCAATTACAGTTCCCTTTTTGCATTCATGGACCAATAGTTCATGTATGTTGAGATAATCACAATTACAGTAGAGAAAGTACAACCAGCTTAGACACCTTTGGAACAGACTCAGCTGGCATTTGACAAGGGGACAAAGAAAGAAACAGGTGAGAGAAAAGAGCAAGCAGCAAGGGGAGGGGCCCCCTCTGGGAGAGGTTTCCAGGGACCACCAGCTTCCTCAGTGTCTTCTTCAGAGAATGAGGTTATCAGTTAACACAACAGGTTAAGTCGAGGTTAGTTAAGAAAGCTTCTGCTTATTCTCAAACTGATCACTTATAAAATTAGCCCTCAACCAAATGTTCTTTCCTACTTAACACTAGCATCAGATCAATGTGGACTGGTATCTTGATAATACTAATAACAAATGCTTACAGAGAACTTACTATATTCTTGGACCAGGGTGTTAATGAGTTCTAAGTGAGTTCACATGTTAATTTGTAAGGGCGTTCTATTATTGATCCACAGAGACGCAGAAGGAAATAACTTGTCCAAAATCCCACAGCTGGGGCACATGGTGGAGTTGCATTCTAACCAATGTTGCCTGCTCCAAAGTTGTTCCCTTTTCTACCACAGTATGTTCCCTCTTAGTATGATTATCAAATGCTGTAAATATTCAACAGTGTAAGTCAAACTGACTGCAAAGTGAAGGTGCAAATCTGGTAAAACACGGGGAATTGCATGAAGTCAACAGAAAGGATGTTGAAGAACAGCTGGAAACACAATGATGTTAATGAACAGTGAACACTGGCAGAATCAGTTAAAAATTGAAGAGAGGCTGACAAGATTAATTAAAACAGGTCCATCTGCCGTAAATTACCTGAGTATTCACGCAACATTTACCAAGCACCTACTATGTGTCTGGCACTGTCATACATGCTGGGGATGCAGCAGTGAACCCTAAATCTCCACCTTCATGGAACTTGTGTTTTGTCTGAGTGACAGACAGTAAAAAAGATCAGTATCCTCACACATGGAGTAAAATTGATCATAGTGAAAAGTGAAGTCATGAAACATTTCTGCAAAATGAGCCTCTTCCTATCCCCTTTCAAAACACAAATGTAAAATCAAGAACTTTATAACATAATCATAACACTCTATTGGAAAAAGTTTGTACCCTTCCCTTAAAAAATCAGCAACTGAATAATTTTAAGATTTTTGTTCATTCTAAGGATTTTGTCTTTTCATTTGGTTTTGTTCATTATGAGTGTTCACTATAATGAATTTTGTTCATTATAAGCATTAGCACATAGTTGTGATTATAATTAAATTTTGTGATTGTTAAAGATAAAATAACTTCCCTAATTTTTAGATTCATTTTCAGAGTTAAAGACCCAACCTCTTTTATTTTGTTTACTACACCATTTTGGTCCCCTTTTAAGGTGGCTTAATTCTAGGTAACCCAGTTTTCTGCCACTAATCACTGAGCAGGGTGTGTGGTCATGAGGAGAAACAATGCGAAAGGCCAAAGACAGCAATGGACCCAACTAACACAGCTTGCCCAAATGGTAAGACGAGGCTAGTAAAAAGCAACCATGATGTGCAGAATTGGCAAAACTTTAAAAGGGCCACAGAATATTCTAGAAGCATGAGATCCAAGCCAAAGAGAATATATAAAAGAGAATGGCTTAACAGCTGCCAGAATTTGGTAAGTAAAGTTGTTTCAAGACCACCTGAGGAATTTGGTCATGGAAGAAATATAAGAAACTATAACAAAGCATGATTGTACCTAAGAATATGGGTGTAAAAATGTAAAGTAATACTCTGAGGTTGATTTTTATTTGTCCTTGGTTTGACATCCTGGTAACAATAGTTTCATAACACAGAAACATCACTCTGTGCCATTCCCACTTGTTAAATTTGGTGGCTGTTTGAATTCCTATACTTCTAATTTTAATTTTCTGATAGGAAACCCATCCATTTAGCTAAAAATAAATTCATGCAAAAAGGTATGCCAAGTTTAGAAGATGTTTCTGTATTATTTTTTTCTTTTTTTAAATGAAGGTACTGGAGATTGAACCCAGTACCTCCTGCACGCTAAGCATGCTATTTACCACTGAGCTACACCCACCCCCTCTGTATTATTTTTTACAGCTGCAAGTAAATCTACAATTATCTTAAATACAAATGTATATATTCCCCCTCCCTGCAACCAATAGTAGAATATTTGTTCTGCATCTTGCTTTTTTCCATACAACAGTGTATTGGAAATTTTATACAGAGTAGTCTATGTATAGAGAGCGTTCCTTTGAGGTATTCTTGGATAAATATATTTATTTAACCAGTCTCCTACTGATGGACATTTGTACTGTTTCCAACCTTTTGTTACCAAAAGCAATGCTATGTGTAAACTTACAGATACATATTTTTGTCTTTTTGATAGATAATGCTAAAGCCCCTCCACAGAGATTGATTGACTCAATTTACATTCCCATCAGCAACATATGATAGCCTATTTCCCCAAACTCTCCCCAATAGAATGTGTTATCAAACATTTGGTTTTCTGCCAATCCAACAGATGAAAAGTGAGAGTTAATTTGAATTTTTATTCCGCTCATGAGGTTGAGCGTATTTCCATGTCTAAGAGCTATTTGCCCATTTATCCAATATACTAAAGAATAATAGTGTTACAAGAAAACATGGGAGTAGAGGGATAGGGTCTAACTCAGCGGTAGAATGTGTGCTTAACATGCACAAGGTCCTGGGTTCAATCCCCAGTACCTCCATTAAAAACATTTTTTTAAATAAATAAAAGCCTAATTACTAGCTCCCCCCCTCCCAAATTTTTTTAAAAAAGTATCTGATAAGGGGGCTGAGTTTGAATGTCTTACTGGAGAGGGGTCCTTCCATGGTTCTGGATCTTTTTTATAATGCAATGGCTGGTGGTGATCATTTTGTAATACAGAATCACTATGTTGTGCACCAGGAACTAACATTGTGTTGTAGACCAATTATACTTCAAAAACAAACAAACTCACAGGAAAAGAGATCAGATTTGTGGTTACCAGAGGTGGGGATGGGGAGAGTGGGACTTGGATGAAAGCAGTTAAGAGGTACAAACTTCTGGTGGTAAGATAATTAAGTGCTAGGGATGTAAAGTACAACATGAGTAATATAACGAACATTGCTGTGTGTTGTGTAAGAAAGTCGTTAAATCCTAAGAGCTCTAACCACGAGGAGAAAAATATCTCCTTTTTCTTTTATTTTTGTATCTATAGGAGATGATGGATGGTCACTAAACTTATCGTGGTGCTCATTTCATGATGTACATAAGTCAAATCATTAAACTTATACAGTGCTGTATGTCATTTATATCTCAACAAAACTGGAAGATAAATAAGTAAATTTTAAAAATGCAATGGTTCCTTTTTGTAACTTTTTTTACCGAGTTATAGTCATTTTTACAATGTTTTCTCAAATTCCAGTGTAGAGTACAATTTTTCAGTTATACATGAGCATACATATATTCATTGTCACATTTTTTTTCACTGTGAGCTACAAAAATGCAATGGTTCTTATTTAAAGTGTTCAACATTGTTTAAAAAAACATCACAACATCAGATTGGTTGAACAATGTCTTCAGGTAAAAGGGTGCTCACCCTAAACATGTCCAGATCACTGTCCACCTTATCAAGCCTTCCCTCAAGGGATCTGCCCTGCCCTAGAGGGAAGAGTAACAATACCCACAGTGAGCACCCAAGAAATATTAATTCAACAAATACTAGCAGCCTTCATGGATCTTACATTCCAGCAAGGGAAGACAGAAAATCAACCTAATCAACAAGATCATAAAGCTTGTTAGAAGGTGATAAGTGCTATGGTGAACAATCAGATTGGATAAGGGAAGCACTAGGGTGCCATTTTAAATAAGGCCACCAGAGCAGGCCTCACGGAGATAATACCTGAACAAAGAGGGAGGTAAGGGAGAAAGGCTGGTGATGTCTGGAGAAAGAGCATTCTGGCAGAGGAACAGCCAGTGCAAAAGCCAGGAGGAGGCCGTGTGCCTGATGTGCTCAAGACACAGACAGGAAGGAGGCCAAGGAGGCCGGAGGGAAGTGAAGGGAGTGGGAGCAAGGGAGAATAGGAGGCCTGGACAAAGATGAGTTACAGGAGTAAGGCTCAACAGGGCTGGGCCAAATGGACAAATCCGAGAGTTAATCCTGTCACATCCAGATGTCTTGTTCTAATCTATGTCTGGCCCTGGCCTCAATGACTTAGTTTTCTAGGAGGGGCAGAGGCAGTCCAGGGCCAGCCACTCAGGTAGTCAGAGAGAGCCTACAGCCTAAAGGCCCCAGGCACGCTTAGGCAAACTGTCATGTGTTTATTGTTTGTAGGCTGAAGACTCCTGGCAACAAGGGGACAATCTCGAGGATTTTACTCCTGTAATTCTGCCTCTTCCTGAAAGCCTCCTTTCCTTACTAAATTTACCACATCTTCCTTGCAATGTCTGTGACTTGAGCATCTCACGAGTGGTTCATCTTGTCAGCTCATTCCCCCATCTCGGAATGTCTTTCATTTTAAGCTCACCTGAGGGTGGTATTAATTGCAGCTACATCAGACACTTCTACAAAGACTACTCTGCCTCTGATCGCCTGGCCAATTTGCTTATCAGTATTTTCTGTCTCCCATCTTCAGATTGGTGACAAACACAGCTACTACTTTCTCAGTAGAGAGCATTACAGAGAGAACTCTTCCTTGTTACACAAGTCTAAGAGGATCTATCCTACTTCGGAATCCAGAGAAGGGAATCAATGGCACTTGGGGCTGAGATGAGCCACGAGACACCAAGCCCAGGTTTCTGCAGGGGCACCAGGTGAGATGGGGAAGCCTGGATGCATGGGACATCTCGTCTTGCATGGGCAAAACCACCACCATTACTACTGTTTTGCTGCTGTGTACTATTCTCCATATTGCTCACTTTCTTGCTTCTTTAAACTCTTGTCCCCTCTTGCTTTACCTTTGTTTCCCCTTCCTCACCTACAAAAGGCATTCTAGAACATTGCTCACCAGGCAGAATGGCTGCTGGAGGAAGTGGCTCTACAATCTATGCAATCATTAAGCAGTTGACTTGGGTGTCACCAACTTTATCATCCCTTTGCCAGACAATACAGATCCGGGGAGTGGAGGGGTGACACCACTTCGATAAGGATGGATCCCTGTTAATGTTTAAGGAATGCTATGGCCATGGAGAAGGCACAGATCTGGGAGCCCTATGAAGAGTATCTGGACTTGTGTCTTGTGGACTGATGAAGTGACCCTCAAGAAAGGTGGGGAACAATGCTTACTGTATAGCACAGGGAAGCATATTTAATATCTTGTAATAACCTATAATGGAAAAAATCTGAAATAGATTTATATATATATATAAACTGAATCACTTTGCTGTACACCTGAAACATCGTAAATCAACTATACTTCAATTTTAAAAAAAAGGTGGATGACAAAGCTCATGAAAAATGAAATAGTATAATGACAGTACAAAAGATGTCACCCATTGTTGACAATTTGAGGGCACAGTACCCAGAGGGATCTTGGGCAGCTGCATCCAAGAGAGCTTAAATCTGTCTCCCAAAGACCTAGGGGTGGCATAGTGTTGCTTTTGCCGTAGGACAAATTTGGATGTGAGTTCTGCTTCCACCATTTCCTAGCTGTGACATCAGTGTCACATTGACGATATTTCAACATCTACTTAAGCTTAGCTTTCTTGCAAGGAAAATGAACCAGACAACCACTTCACGCGGATGATCGGAGGATGCTGGTAAACGGAAGTGAAGTATGTTTAGCACACATCTGGATCTGCCTCTTATACACTCAACAAGTGGCATCCATCAGGATCCAACCTTGTTTCAATGTCGCCAAAGAAGCGTCTTTCAGAGATTCTGTTTCATACCCAGTCTGAAAGTTCTACTGTCTATCCTGTACCTCTACCCTTCCTGATGCCACTCTGTTCAGTGCTCAGGGTAAAATCAGAGGAGCTCAGCTCCTACCTCCTGCCTCCCTGAACATCCCGGGCCGCCAGGAGCACCCTCTCCTGGTTGTTGGTCCTCGGTCTCTTCGCAGGACGCCCCAGCGGGGTCTGGACCCCTTGCCTCCGCATCAGAGCTCTCCCCTGTGGTGCCTCTGCCCGGTCCCAGTCCTGCCTCCCACCCGACTCCTCACCTGATGTACGGGAGGAAGGGGTTGACGTGCCGGGAGAGCACAGCGACCACGTACGAGATGACGAAGGCGGCGGACGACCAGGTCACCAAGAGGAAGGGGACAAGGCCATTCCCTTCAGAAAGCACGGCATCGCGCTGCCGCGGGGAGGGCGCCGCGCTCCGCGCTGCGCGGAGGCGAGGGCTGCGCACGT